CGACTGCTCAGCAATTTCATGGAGTGCCCACGAGTTCTTGTATTGTGAGAAAGGGAGAAAAGTACCTCTTTCTCTACCTGTTCTTTCCCACGCATAATCTTGTAAACCTCAATCATGTCACCCCTCAGTCATCTTTTCCCCAAGCTAAAGAGCCCTAAGCGCCTTAACCTTTCCTCATTGGGAAAGTGTTCCAACCCTTTTATCATTCGAGTTGCCCATTTGCTATGGCCTTTTCATTATCTGGCCTTCCAGGGAACAGTCAGGGTTGATTTCTTTTAGGAGGTCATCAATTCATAAGCTTGCCATAAGTCAGAAGTGTCTTAACAACACTTCACACCCACACAGCAAGGGGCTTTCAAGGGAAAGGTTCCCTTGCTCGAAAGCCAGTCGAATCCAACTCTAGGGTTGCGGTGCTCATCTCCGTTTCAAAGCCGAAGAGCCAGCGCTGTCCGAAGACGTTTCCGTGGTCATGTGGCCGGCATGACTAAACACCAAGGCGCACGGACTGCCTTACCATGTACAATTACCACAAGGTGTGGAGATGACTGCTATCTTAGAATACTTTCAGGTTGCCAGCCTCCAGGTGAGGCCTGGAGATCTCCTGCTATTACAACTGATCTCGAGGCGACAGAGATCAGTTCCCCTGGAGAAAGTGGCTGCTTGGAAGGGTGGACTCTCTGGCAATTGTACCCTGCTGAGGTCCCTCCCCTCTCCAAACCCCGCCCTCCCCAAACTCCAACCCTAAAATCTCCAGATATTTCCCGACCCAGAGCTGACAATCCTGTTTAAGGAAGGGTTACACAAAAGCCATGGCTCAGCTAGTTAAAAATGGACCCTCTGTGCCCTGAGATGATACCCTTTTAAATGCCAGATGGAGGCCCTGATACCCTGCATGTGATTCTCCAGAGACCTCTGGCTAGTCAGAAATGATGTGGGACTAAGTGGTCCAAGACAGTTCTCACAGTTGTATAAGCTTCGGAAACATCACTGAGCTGGCTACCTGCCATGGAGAGGGATCATCCCAGTGCTTAAAGAAAGAGCTGAGATTTATTTGGAAACCAGAGATCCTGGCTCATAGAGGCGTTATTCTCAAGCAAACATCTCTGAAAGCCGTTGTGGCAACGCCGGGTTTCTTTGTGGGCTCTTTCTAAATAACCAGAGGAAAAGGCAGCAGAAGAAAGGTGCATTAGGGGCTGGATCCCTTTTCACGGGAAGCTTCTTTGACTGAGAGGAAAGTGCCACCCCCAAAGGATCTAACCCTAAGAATCCAGAATTCCTCTGAACAGCAGACAAAGGGGATGGAAACAATAAAACAGGGGTGGGGGAGGATTTACATGTAAGTGATTTAAACAGGCACATTTTTCAGTTTTGGTCACTTCAGCATTCTCTCCATGTTGAATGGTCCTATTGCAGTGATCCCCCAAACTGGTGACTACGGGCACCACAGCATCTGCCAGTGGGTTTTCTGGTGCCCATTTTCCTCTTCCCCAAAGCACATCTTCCCAAACAAACTTGCCCTACCTCACTGGAGCAAGAGAACCCAGAAACCTCATAATAGGAGATGGACTGATGTTATCTTCAGTACAGGATTACTATTATTACATGTTGATATTTCAATTCTCCAATGTTAATTTCAAATACCATCAAGGTTTAAGTTGCAGAAAAATGGATTTCAAGGTGGGCCACCGATCACATTTTCAAAAAGTACAGTCTCTGTCAACTTTGAAATGAAAGTCTATCCCTGAAGAAGATAATTGAAATGGAAGATTTATCCAGAATCTTCATTAGGACTTGTGGACAAGAAATGGTGGACCCGTAATAGTATTTTTGTACTTAAATTTATGATGTATACTTTGTGAATATCACTCAGGAAAATTTTGCATTTTTGTTTTTGCACTATATAAGAATTGTCAATACTCAAAGGCATTTATATAATCTTTATTAACGTTGTTTTTTACAGTCTTTATTATTTGTTACCCAATAACCCCCTGATGGGCCCCAACCTCCCCCCCCCCCATGGCAGCTATTTTGTGCCAACACACATTCCCTGTTCTCAAAGTGCCACAGGCTCAACAAGATTGGAGACACTTGTTTTACTCAATCCACATATGCACTGTTTGGTGAGCCAGTTTGGTGTAGTGGTTAGAAGTGTGGACTATAAACTGGGAAAACTGGGTTTGATTCCCCACTCCTCCATATGCAGCTGCTGGCATGACCTTGGGTCAGTTACAAGTTCATTCAGAGCTGTTCTCTCAAGGGGCGTTCTTGAAAGAGCTCTCTCAGCCCCACCTAACTTACAGGGTGTCTTCTGTGGGGAGGAGAATGGAAACGGATTGTAAGCCGCTCTGAGACTCCTTCAGTTTGGTGTAGTGGTTAAGTTGCGTGGACACTAATCTGGGAGAACCGGGTTTGATTCCCCACTTCTCCACTTGCACCTGTCTGGATGACCTTGGGCAAGCCGTAGTTCTGATAAGAGGTGTTCTTGAAAAAAGAGCAGTTTCTGTCAGAGCTCTCTCAGCCCCACCTATCTCACAGGGTGTCTGTTGTGGGGAGGGGAAGGGAAAGGAGTTTGTAAGCCGCTCTGAGACACCTTTGGGTAGTGAAGGGCGGGGTATAAATCCAATCTCTTCTCTCCTCCCTCTCTTCAGGTAGTGAAGGGTGGGGTATAAATCCAATCTCCTCCTCCTCTTCCTCCTCCTCCTCCTCCTCTTCTTCTTCTTCTCTGTGCACCAGTAGCTTGTTAGGAAAACAATGAACAAATGAGAAACTGAGGCAAACAATTAACTATATGAATACTCCAAAAACTGGATGGCTTGCAGAGTACAGTTATGGTCCAGCCAACTCCTCAAGTACAGTGTCTAAAACTGACATCTGCTTATCCCTAATACCAATGTGCCGTCAAATAATATGGTAGTCTTAGACCCAGACGTGGCCCAGCTCCTCCTCCTCCCCTTCTTCTTCTTCTTTGTGCCACCAGTAGCTTGTTAGGAAAAAAATGGACAAATTAGAAACCGAGGCAAACAATTAACTCTATGAATACTCCAAAAACTGGATGGCTTGCAGAGTACAGTTATGGTCCAGCCAACTCCTCAGGTACAGTGTCTAAAACTGACATCTGCTTATCATTAATGCCAATGTACCATCAGATAACATAGTAGTCTTAGACCCAGACGTGGCCCAATGGTGCTGTGGTTAGATCTGCTGGCTGCATTAACTCTTGTTGGAAAATGTCTGCTGTTCAGGTTCCCAGCGCTATGTTGTCATGAGGGTTTCGGAAGTCCATCAGCTGAAAGACGGCAGCCACAAAACAGCCTCGGATCCTGATTTTGGAAAGACAGTGAAAGATCTGCCCCGGTAAGATCTTCTGCTCGCATCTGTCCCATAGAGAAATCTCATTTGAGTTAGTGCTGAAAGACTGTCCTAACCTTGTGCTTATTAAATGGCAGCAACTGGGGGCCGTGATTAAACCTCCAGTGGTCTGAAAGGGGCACAAACACAGCCAGTTGGGCCTGCTCCCACATTCCCTCTGTCCCTCCTCTCCCACTTCACCTTGCACAAGCTTTCCCTCCTCTCTCACTTCACCTTGCACAAGAAGCATGGCTGGAAAATGTCCTAGTCTGAGATGTCTTCAGGTTCCAGTTCGCTGTGATGTGTGAATTTGGACATAACTTGAGTTAGTTTTCCTACCCACAAACTGGGATGAGACTGTTACTTAAAGTCCCATTTTTGTGTTGACCTCTAACTTGCCCAGGTATCTGTATGGTCCAGGGCTCTTTTTGTAGAAAAAGCCCAGCAGGAACTCATTAGCATAATAGGCCACACCCAACAGCAGGAACTCATTAGCATATTGGGCCACACCCCTGACAGCACAGCTCATTAGCGTATTAGCATATTCATGTTACCAGAAGTGTGGTTATCCAGCCACACCCACCTTTTGCTTTTTATTCTGTTTACCTTGTTTGTTGTCAAAACCCAGGGCCTTTTTTTGTAGCAGGAACTCCTTTGCCTGTTAGGCCACACACCCCTAATGTAGCCAATCCTAACGAGTTTCTGCTGTTGGGTGTGGCCTATTATGCTAATGAGTTCCTGCTGGGCGTGGCCAACTTGGGAGCCAGCCGGAACTCTGTTCCTGTGCGTTCCTGCCCAAAAATAGCCCTGGTATGGTCCCAAATGGAATCCTACTTGAAGGATTTGAGTCCAATAGCACTTTAGAGACCAACAAGACTTTCAAAGTATACGTTTCAGGACTCAAAGCTCCTTTTGTCAGGCTTCCAGACAAGGGCCCTTTCAGCACCTGTATTTTGCCTTGGTCTCTGAGCTCATCCTGTTCCTCTATTCTGCATTCCCTCCCACTTCCACGCCCACTTTGTGTCAAGGCTTTCTCTCGTTTCTGCCTTTGTCTAACAGGAGTCTGCATTCAGACCGCTTCCAGCACACTGTTGCCCCGCAGCTACCAAAACTCCTTTTGCTGCGATTCTTTGTTCTCACCTGCTTTCAAATTGCTAATCCTTTCTAAAGTAGAATTGTTTCTGTGGGTATTTAAGTGCTGCCCAGTGCCTCCCTCATTTCCGGCCCTCCCTCCCCATTCTGTTTTCTTTCCCTTCTTCTCCAAAGGCAAGAGAGGATGTGTCCTCCCACTCAAGCAAACTTTAAAAAAGCCAGAGAGAGCATTAGAAGGGATCAGTAAATATAAAGGACCAGGGGATTCCCTGCTCCCAAATGTGTCCGTCTTGCATGTGCAGGTCTGGATTTCCCCCTCCCTTCCCTTTCGTTCTGCGGAATCACGAAGGGAGGGAGGGAGGGAGGGGTTGGCAGCCAGTTAGCTTAAAAATGCAGGTCGATGCAGAATGCATACAGAATACACAAATAAATAAACTGGAGGGGGGGGAAACCAGTGCAGAGGGAATGTGTGCGACTGCAAAGTCACCCCTTAAGGCCTGGCTCCTCAGATTCTCGAGAGCAAGCCGTCTGTGCAGAAAGGGCCAGTGACTCAGATCTTAGTTTGCTTTGACAAAATGCCGGTTTGTTGTGACGGGCCCAGGGGTCATTTCCTGCAGGAGCACACAGGAGCGGCGCTCCGGCAGTAAAGAGCCCAGGGGGGCGGGCACATGCAACAAGCCCCACCCCCTGCTCCCAGCAGCCCTCAG